GCTTATTTGTAACACTTATCTAGTGATATTTTTGTGGATCTTGTTTTAATTAATATTTTTACTATCTTCAGTCAATACCTCTATATACCGTAGTTTTATAAAAAAAAAGCAAACGTAAAAAAATCATTTAGGGAAAAGTACTCATATAAGGAGGCGGTTTACCACTCCAATCTTATACCTTTAAACTAAAGTATATATTAAGTATTGGAAAAATCAAACCACCTTTTGAGGGCAATAAATCCATTTAGTTGTTTGACGATTTGTCCATGTTGACTTACTTGTAGATCTTATTTTGTTTCTCTTTTTTTGCCTAAAAGTTTATCTTTTCTATCGTGGTTTTAGAGAAAAGGCAAACGTAAAAAAAATCATTTAGGGAAATTATTCATATAAAGAGGCGGTTGACCACTCCAATCGTGTTGAATTTTTAGCAGAACGTATTCAGCAGCTGAACATATTTTCCCTGTACAATTTTCATTATACTGTAAACCAACAAATTTTCGTGAGCAATTTATTTTCGCGACTTTCGCGAGATGGAAAAATAACGCAAAAATAAATCGAAGCGTATATATAGCACATAGTTCTTCTCACATATAATTACATTAAAACATTGAGTAAAACCGCGAAAATAAAATCGCCGCGAAGTTCGCTTGAAAATTGCTAAACGCGAAATAAAGTATCCGCGAAAATAAGTTGGTTTACAGTATGTGATAGTATCAGCAACGATGGAACTAAAAAAGGGTCACACTCATCATTCAACAGCAATAAATCCTATAACAACGTCTAAGGGTTTAATAACGATTCCTGTCATTTGACTGACCTTTAGATCTCATTGTACTGGTCATTTTCACTGTTCTAAATTTCGGTTTATTTCTGATTATGTTCTCGATTACATTTCGAAATTTTCTAAAAAATGACATTTCAGGGACAATATGGGTTGTCCGCTTTTTCAGAATATTCCATAGGAGATGGATCTTGATTAGCGGATTATTTTTATTCATGTTTTGCTTTCATTGCTTTAGATTTGAGTAATACGCCAAAAACTGCATTTTGCCCCTTTGTTCTATTTCTAGCAAACGAAACCATGTGTGTTGAAGGATGTTTTTGGTGGGTTTGTGTTGCTGGTGGAGTTCGTGTTTCTCAGTCTTTAGTGTTCAATGTTGTGTTTCTGTCATATTGTTTGTCTGATGGTATTTTTCTTTCATACCATTGCGTTGTCAGTTTATTTTCGACTTATGAGTTTGAGTGTCCTTTTAATATCTTTCGCTTCTCTTTTATCAAATTATCCTTTTACAATGTGTAACCTAGACTTCGTAAAAAAATTTACAAATTTAACGTTTGGTCACATTTGGCTGCCGACGAACGACGGATGCTGACAGACAACAGACGAAGACGGTGGACGCCATATGATTACAAAAGCCCACATAGCTTATAGGTCAGGTTAGCTACATGTAATAAGAAGAAAGCAAATTCAATATAGTTCACACATGTAAGTTGCGTCTGCATAAATATTGTACCGCTTGTTTTTTTTTTCTTGTTTCGATTTTATTATTGTTTAAAAAACTTATCGATTTTTTCATATTTAACAGAATTTCAATACAAATAAATTAATTGCCGTGAAATATTAATGGTGTGTCAAATTACGGTCACAAACTAGAGTGAAGAAAGCTTCCGGTTGTTTTGTTCAATATTGATGACAGATGAACAATAATAAACTAAGTGAAAGGTTGGTGTTTAGTTGAACTTTATGTCTGACTCGAATTAATAAATTATATTCAAAATTTATCAAAACAAGAGTACACACACTAAAATGTGTATGCTGTTTTAGTGAATACAATCAAATGTGTGTTAAATCTTGAAGATAAAGCTTCACAGCTGGCCTCACGAAATTTTAACATTAATAATGATCAATGAAAATAAAGTCAGGCAAGTAGAGCATGCAAAACTAACAATGATTCCATAGAACTCATATAGTAAACACCTTTTTTAGTATCTGCGACCTAATGCATAGGCGTCAGACAACAATGCAGTAATTTCAACTATTCAACATGCTTGTTGTCTTAAAATTGTATTGCAAAGAAAGATGCTTAACATATTTGTTTAAAATAGGACTACTATATACACTATCATCCTTTGTATAATTTAAAAGAAGGAAACTCGTCCTAAGAAATTCATGAAATTATAGTGTTAAACTTTAATTCGGAAGATAAGTTATTTATTTTGTTCTAATTTCAAAACAAAGATTGAAAGCTACTGGTAAAAAGGATAAAACATATTGTTACAGAGCATGAGAAAACAATTTAATCCTACAACTGAACTCTTACTTCTTCAAGGCTTGTGTTTTATTTATACTAGAATAATTCTTCCTGCATGCCAAGTTATATCAGTCATTTGTTGAAGTTATGAGAATTCTTCACACCAATAGTTTATCAAACACAAGAGTTGTTCTTTATGGTGATCGTGTATTGATTTTTGTCATATTTGCCTTTTGTTAAAATAATTATAATAAATCAGACAGTTGGTTTTCTGTTGTTGAATAATTTCACATTTTGTCATGCCCTGACCTTTTATAGCTGCCTAATCAGTATGGATTTTCTCACCGTTGAAGGTCATACCATGACATATAGCTGCTCTAATATATGTCATTTATACTCTGGTGGATAGTTGTCTCATTGATAATAATATATATTTTTTAATATTAGATACAACCTTATTTTTAAGCATTTGGAAGTTTTGTTATTACTAGAAGTATGATGAATCAACTGAAGAATTAGATTTTTTTGCCGGTGACTAACAATTATCTAAGTTGTTCATTGTTCATTGTTTACGATGCCAAGGGATCCAGTAATGACATGAACCACGGGACTATATCTGCATAAGTTCGATGATAAACAGCAATTCTAGAGGTTTGAATTTTACATCCTTGAAGACAAAGGTATATAATACCGTCATGTGGTTGAATATCTTGAATGCAATAGGTTTGGCCGCAATACTAAACCTACATAAACTTGTTTAAACCTAATCAAATCGAATATTGAAGTAAATTCAGCAATTATTGCGAGGTTTTTATCAATGCGAACAATGCGACTGGGTGAGTATCGCAATCATAAGAACTCGCATTTTGATATCTGATACATATATATGTATGTAGCATCACCGAAATTGCAATAATTAATCTTGCATTTTTGTCCATTCTTTCAAAAATGCAATAATAAATGCAAGCAATAATTTCTGATTTTACAGTATATATAGTATTCTTAAAAAATAATGTAATAAATGATTATGCATGTTTAGTCATCCATGAAACAAAAATGTTATGCACAACTATGTACTGATGTTGACGAGAAAATTGCAATGTTATGAGGTTTGTATAATTTTGGATAGAAAAAAAGGCATTTGTTTTCAAAAAAATCAATTACTTCCCATTTGGGTCTTGGTTTAATGTGTCCTGAAAAATACATATGTTCTATAATAACTCAAATATTGCCAACATCTCCTACTTTCTTTTACTTTTGATTTAAATAAATATTGGGCACCTGAGTGCAAAAATTTGAGGTAAAGTTCCTCAACGTCTTTCCTCGATGAAGGTAACTCCAGAAATCTGTCTGTTTAGTGTTTTTTTTAATGAAAATTGATCACTACGAAGCGAAGACAGTCCCCGAAATTCATAATTTTCATTAGAACAAGAGGACATTTTGCAAAAATATCTGTGTCTCCAATATGAAACCAACCCTGTTATGCTTTGTATCTAACCCTAAGGAGCCAAAATACACCAAAACGTGATACAATTGAATTGTATTATATTTTTCATGTCAGGGCATTTTATAGACGACTTTACTGTATGGGTTTTTGTCATTACTTAAGGCCGTACGGTTACCTATAACTACTAACATCTACTTCATATGAACTGTGGTAGATTGTTGTTTCATTGGCATTGATACCACATCTCCTTATTTTTATATAGACACTATTCTCTTTTGTGTAACTTAAAAGACGGGAAATACGTCCGATTTATGATTATGATTTTGTTAGACAGTTGGTCATAAGATAAATTTATGATTGTTTTCAAATTAAACAAAAGTAACTGGTAAAAAGGATAAAACACGATGTTCCAGAATATAAAACATTATTTTGTCCCAGCAAATTAACTCTGAAGCTATCTTCTATTTTTTGTAATGCTAGTCTTCATATTTATACCGACTGTATAATTTCTTCCTTCATGTCAAGTTATATCCGATCCTTATTGCAATCATGAAAATTCTTTATTCCAATCGTTGACCAAAAGAACGCTATCAACATGTAACGCATACGAATTTAAAAACAAAATAGATTTTACTTGTGATTTCAATAATGATTAAGAGAGACAACAAATTAATATGAAATTGAGACCATAAGCTACAGTGAGCCTGTATCGCTCATCAATCATTTTTGTCTTTCTGATTAAGTTATGTCCATTTGTCATAGGATTAAAGATAACAAACACTAATTAACTTGACACCCAAATGATCATTCATACATAAGAAAATGCCTGTACCAAGTCAGAAATATGACAGCTGTTATCCATTCGTTTGATGTGTTTGAGCTTTTGCCATTTGATTAGGGACTTTCCGTTTTGAATTTTCCTCGGAGTTCAGTATTTTTGTGATTTTACTTTTCACCTCAAGTTTGGTTGAAACGGGTTTGATAGTTTCAAGGTAGAAGATCTTTTGCAATGTTTACGATGGATCATGACGGACTCTAAGTGATGACAAAAGCTCGCGTGTCCTTTGAGGACATGGAAGCTGAAAACATTAAACATTTTAATTAAATAACGTTTCCTTCCAACAATGCCAAATAGCACTTGCAAAAGCTTACCTTGCCAGATGACCTAAAAGCAGAAATATACTTATTGGGATATCAAAAGCAATGTGAATCATAATTTCCATACTTGAAGATGTCTCCTTTATCAGTGTAGCTGTACACAGTAGATGTCAAAACCTATGTAAAGTTGTTTTTTTAATAAGTTACCACAAGTACATGTTACCTGTGTGTGTCTCTCTCCGAATATTTTGAGAATCAATCAACCTTCTGTCTATCATACTATCTATGACATAGCCATCGCATACAATGGGAGTCAACAACAAGGAACCTAAAAATATCAAGGTATTAAAATTGTATTACACAAACTTAATGGTTTCTACCTGACGGTATCGGGATATGGGTATTGAGTCAAATCTTAACAGAAAGTTGTAATAATATCACAAAACGATACGGATAAAAAAAAACAATGTCAAAATGCTCAAGCTTTAATTAAATTTTTGTTAGGGGAAGTTGATGCAAGCATACGATCTGTATCGTGTATTATACTGCTAAAGGCAAGTAATGTTTAACGACTGTACTGTATTAATGTGTAAACAACTGTTGGTTATATAAGTTATTACGAAACTTCATAGAAACTTGAGCACGAGTGTTGTGTTAATTAATTCTTCTAATGTGTCATGTCTATACAAGAGTGATATCCCTTTGAACTATGTTTAAATTCCAATATGACTATCGAATCAATGCATGTATTGTCTTCCTTGAACAGGTTCATAATTTCATATTAACGTATAGTTATTTGATTTAATTGAAAATCATTACAAAATTTATAAATTTAATAGATTCAAGAATTTATCATTGGTTTATTATGTTTTTTAAAGACATGCATATCTCTAGTTTTATTTATTTGTTTTGAAACGTTTAATATTATCAAATACCAATATCATGAATATAAAGAACCTTTCATAATTTTATAAATATTATGAAGTCACATTTGTAGTTACTTAGTTTGATGAGGCATACACCATGAGACTCCAGATAATGCTTTTGCCTCAGACTAATCCTGGAATTGTTTACGTTTTTAAAAAGTCGTATTATAGTAATACATTAAATGAATAGTATTCTGTCTACTTTTAATTTGAGGTAAGTTTTTCAGGTGAATAACACATGTTTCATTTGACATGTGTTGTAATTCTGCTGTCAAGAATACACTGTTTTAAGTTGGTGTCCGCATCATATAACCTGCAAGAGCATTGATCCTGCTACTTGTAAAAGAATTTCTTGTATATAATTATGTCAGATTTCAATTGAAGCTGACTTAATGCCTTGATTTATTTGCATTACTTGATTCTCAAAAAGACAAATACGTGTATGCTGTGTAACCCCCCCCCCAAAAAAAAAACAAAAAACAAAAAACAAAAAACAAACACACACACACACACAAGATACACATCACATATTACAGAACACCATTACCATTACTGTATTCCCGAGACTTCAAATTTATGTCAAATGCTTTACTGCAAAATTATGTGCGAAACCATATAAAGCATTTAATTTTTTTTAAAGGACTGTACATGAAAACCAATTTATATTATTTCACCATAATGATAAAATATTGGGAAAATTAACCAGAGTTATCTTGCATTAATCACAAAGAGGGGCTAGCAAACAACTTTTAATTATAGCGTAATTAATGTTAAAACAATTATCAAGACGAATTTTAAGACTCCTCACTCTTTTTTACTTTCTAATTAATCTATGTACACCATACGAATACAAAAAAATCTAAAATTTCAGAAAGAAGTGAAAAATCACGTTCTCTTCTTGTACTTTTCGTATTCAATATGATATTTTTTCTCCGTCCGATTGGTATTTCATCAACATGGTCATTGATAGCAAATAACTTGTGTTTCGTATTGTTCGGTTATCTAAGGCTGCAAATCATTAGAAATTACTATTTACTCTTTACTTTTATATCTTTCACAATTCATAACATGTTGTAAATTAAAGTGGCACAAATTCATATTTGATTAATCAATCACCCTGGTTCAAGCCATATTGAATCACTTTTGTTTAAATATTTACCTCTGTTATATTTAGGAGATAACTGTAGTTTAAGCTCCGACGGCATCAATTGGTGAATTGATGGTCGCACATTGCGGAGCCAGTAAACGGGTATTTGCGAAAATCAAAATCACCAATTGATGCCGTCGGAGCTTAAAATACAATATTGTTATCTCCATTCTAATGAAACCGACAGAAAACAACGTCAAATCATACATTTAAAATCTGTCAAACGTCGTCTGCGCTTGCGCGTACGTTTTCAAAGCATCAATTGTTAATTGATGCCATGAACATTGGTGACGTTATCCAATCAAAATGAACGTTAAAAACGATGTTGCATTAGAATAAACATTGTTAAGCTCATTCTGGGTTATTATCAATCTGTTCTGAGATAGTTTTGTATTTACATAATGAACATGTCAAAACAGCCATATATATCCTATGAGGTAATTATTTAATTTATTGAAATTATAATAATTGTCTTTGAATCTTTTCAAAACAATAAAATTTTAGACAGTTGTTGGAATCCGAATAAGGACGAGAAAAACAGACTAGAGGCTCTCAAGAGCCTGTGTTGCTCACCTTTACTGTGGTTTTGAAAATCATGTAAAATAAGGTTAAAATCATAATAAAAAGTATTAGATACATCCCAGTGTAGTCTTACAATAGTTACCGAAGACCCCTTATTAAATTAGGTTTTAAGTTGTGACCATTTGAAATTGTTTTTTTACAATTTTCCTCTAGACTTCTATAGTAAACCCCTATGTGCTATTTTTAGCCATGGCGGCCATCTTGGTTAATGGGCAAGATCGTTGGATACAAGTTTTAAACTAAATACCCTAAGGATGTTAAAGGCCAAGTTTTGGCTTTTTTGACCCATTAGTTTCAGAGGAGAAGACTTTTGTAAAAGAATTGTGAAAAATTGACTTTAAAAGGCAATAACTCCTGATGGGGTTAAATGACAATGTTTGTCATGTTGACTTATTTGTAGATTTTACTTTGTTCAAAAAATTTTGCTGTTAATAGTTTATCTCTATCTATTATAATATTCAAGATAATAACCAAAAACTGCAAAATTTCCTAAAAATTACAAATTCAGGTGCAGTAACATAACAACGGCTTGTCTGGTGCGTCTGAAAAATTCAGGGCAGATAGATCTTGACCTGGTGAACATTTTAAACTATGTCAAATTTGCTCTTAATGCTTTCGTTTCAGAGATATAAGCCAAAAACTACATTTTACCCCCCTGTTCTACTTTGAGCCATGACGTCCATCTTGGTTGATGGGCGGAGTCATCGGAAACATTTTTAAAACTAGATATCCTAAGAATGATTTAGGCCAAGTTTGGTTTTATTTGGTCTAATAGTTTCAGAGGAGAAGATTTTTGTAAAAGTTAACGGACGACAACGGACGACGGATGACGGACGCCAATTGATGAGAAAAGCTCACCTGGCCTTTCTGGGCCAGGTGAGCTAAAAATGTATCATGTTTTAAATTGACCTGTAACAGAAAGTAGGACTCTCTCGCAACGGAATCCGGTTATCTAAACTGGAACAATTTATTCTGAATATTTTGGAAATAACAACATGAGTTATCTGCCCTTGGTCGCATGATTATTCTGAGGATACAAGTATGGATTTTAAACAGCACAACTTTATTTTACGTATTCACTCTTTTTTTTTTTATCCTGATTGGGTTTTTTTTTTTTTTTTGTTGTTATATCACAGCACACAATACGTCCTCACATCAATTTGAAGATGTTGTATTTTGATTTAATGCAAATTCAAGTAATGATGTGAGTTTCATAATATATCTGATTTTTTGTCGAGACTCTTCTTTTCTGTTCAAATGGAATGCGCTATATTTAAGTTGCATATTGCATATGGTGACTACATCCTCACTTACATGCTATTCTAACTCTCAGTTTATTTGGACAAGATTACATGATCTATTGTCAAAACTTTGTTTTCCGTCGTCGTGAGCTTTTTGAAAAAAAAAACAATTTCTTTTGCAACTACTCGGGCAATTGAAACTACGTCCTTAAATAAGAAGATAGTAATGCGAAATTTATATTATCAAGAATCAATATCTTGTCTATAATGAGTAAATAAAACTTATCGGAAAACCTTCATTTTGGCCAGAATTATGACATGGTGTTACTAAGTACCGGCATACATATCAAATACAAAACATTATAAAATAGGAAAACCTTGCATGCGATATAAATAGGTTATGAACCTTTTAGCAGAGAGAAACTGTAATGTATATACCATTTAAAGTGTTCATTATATAAGGCTTTATACGTATTTATCGATTTCTGGGTTGCAGTTGTTAAAATTTTAGCATATGTAAATCTAAACAAATATTTTGGAGGAACGAAATTAACAAAGCCGCACATTATAAATGCGTGAAAAAATTGCGGTGAAATAAAAGATAAGACATGGAATAAAGATAGTTCTAACTGATAGTGACAGACACATTTTAAAAAACCAATTACTTTAACAACTTTTATGACAAGGTTAATTTAACAACTAAACTGCAAGAACAACATAGATTAAAAAATGTAAATTGCTACCATATCTTCTTATTTTTATATATATTGTAATTTTCTTTCTTGTGTCCAATCAATTTTTGTTAATTAGTTATCAATAGATAAATATAGGTAAACTTGTACACCAACACTCGAAAGTTATTTAGCAGCGAAAGTTTTTGATCAACAATCACAGAATGAAATATTCTTAGTCGAAAATACGTTATGGTTTCGTTATTTACATTGAAAAATTGTACAGAAGATTTAGTTTGATATATGCATGAATTGTTTCAATTTTTTTAACGTAATGAACATGATGAAAACCTGAAACGCGTTGCATATGACCGTTATAAGTTTCAAATAACAATGATTAAAGGTTTTTTTTTTTACTGACCCATATATTTCGGAATAAAGATATTCATTATTTGTGTTTATAGATTAATGAGTAAAAATATAACACAAAATCATTATATACCTGTAGTTCTTGTTACTGTTTTCTGTAGTTTTTCAGCTTGTCTTTGTAAATCGATTGGTATTGTCCATTTTAATGGCCTCTGTCCTGATAGTTTATTCGTGCTTCTGTCTTGTAACACTAAAGTGATAGTTACATATAAAAAAATCAACTGTCAATGGTGACAAAAGTGACACATATCTATATAACAAGTGTTTTATAAATCTGGTGTTAAATATAACAAAATAATCAAGATGACCAAAGGGTTCACATTTACATTACCAAACTTTCAACTCTGTCTGATAGTTTCACGGGTAAACTAGCAACTGTTCAAAGGGTTTTCGCCATGTGAAGGCCGTTTGTTTATCTATATGCGTAAATCCGCTTCATTTGGACTTAGTTCGATATTTATCTCATTTGGGATCATACCACATCGTATAACTTTATAAAATGTGACTAAATTTGAAATGCCTGTCTTGATTTTCATAATATAATTGGTGTGGTTAATGTTGTTCTCTTCAACATAGGTAGTTACACTTTTATGATCTGGTCACTTTCAGTATACAAATCAATCTGACGAAAATCTGTCATCCGCAGAAGTTCGTCGTTTTTTATTGGTTGTGTAGTTATCACATGCAACATATAAACAACTGAACGAAAGTGAGTACTTTTTTTAAGAAGATCATATACAAATATAATGTGTACCACCGAAAGAGGTAAAAATTTAACATAAATGTAAAGAGATAGAAAATACACTATTCATTTGAAAACTAGTATCAAACTTCTGATGCTTCTTGTGTCATGTGATATACAATATACGAAGAAACAACTTTTGGTTTGTCAAGGAAATTGGTCACTATGATCACTAGGCGTTGTAACCAAATTTCGATATTGTTTTTGTCATTGTTTGCATTGAATTTGCAGCTTTCAACATTTTTTTTTTACTTTAGAGGTCACAACCCATAAGGATCTATAATAACGCAACCTTAAACCAACAAACAAACAAGGTAAACATATATCATTTGCGTTTATGTGTAACTTTTAAAAAAAAACATATTAAGAAAAACTTTCAAAATGAACGTTACTTCGTAACCTATCTTTAAAGTTAAAGTATCGTGTTTTTCATAAGGTTACGTTAACGTTATGATTTTAACGTGTAATGTGTGATGTTGTCCTCAAGTAAATGAAACGTTAACATATAAACGTTTAAACTTCAACGAAATTATAAGAAACATTAATACGACAGCATAACGTCCAAATAATGTTTCTCAATAATGTTTATTCTTAATTTAAAATTGAACTACTGGCCATGGTATAACTTGATGCCATACGCACATTTGTGACTAAATTCTAAATTTTAGAAATAGATAAGCATTATATTTCATTAAAATGAATAGCCAATGAACAATTCTTTGTTTACCATAAAGTTTTCTGTATTTTGATAAACCATTAACACAGAATGGCTATATTTTGTCAGTGAATCATACAAACAGGACAAGTCATTATCACTCTTATTTGAGTTCATACGATAACGTTATGTTTGGTTACAATCTCTGTAGATTTCTAATAGAATTATGAGATTACAATATCAGCAATAACATTAACAATATCATTTTTTGGCACAAGATAAGCATTTCGACTATTTATTTATTTGCGATTTTATGGGAAAGCATCCATTTTCATTAAATATTGCTTACTTAAGATTACGGTTATTTTGGGTTAAATTTTAATTAATTGAAGAATAAATAAACAATCATTGCGGAACCTTAAAAAATAATCTTCCCGTTAGCTGAATCTTACAGTCTATTCAGTCTGGTTCAAGGTTAACACATGTTATCAAAGGTGAAGTTGAAATTATTTAAGAAACATGCATATCGAGCCAATCTTTTATCACATATAGGCGCAACGTATTTAAAAGGAAATTGATAAAGTGCATTGTATAATAGGTAAAAAAGAAAAAAAAAAGGTATGAAGACAGCACATAGAAAGGCACTTTAATTTTAGTAATACGTCTCAGTAAATTATCAAACATTATTGATCTTTTGTTAGTAAATAACTGAAGGGATATTTAAAAAAAACTTACTTATATTTAGATTATCTAAATTATTGTTACTTCCAATATCTGTACCATGGAAATTTATTCTGTCAAATTTGTACATCAGACACGCGTTTCGTCTACAAAAGACTATTCAGTGATGCTCGATTAAAGAAAGTTATTAAGGCCAAATCAAATTCAAAGTTAAAGACCCCAAATTTCTGATTTTTTTTTTTTGCCAAATACAGTTAAGGCAATCCACGAAATACAAAAATACATGTAAGTTTAAGCCAGTATATTAGTGTAATAAAATTTGAAATACATTTTTGAGTGAAAACATGGCATCTACATGGATCAAATGTTTGGTGTTTTAGAATAAATGTCATTTTGCAATTAAAAAATCATGGACAAAAAAAAAAGCTCATCACATAGTCAAACTTTTGTATGAATTAAATCATATAAATTGAATGGTTTCAATTAGTATTTGCAGAAATGTCATGATCATTTTTGCATTTACAATAAAGTCAAATAAATTGTTCCTTGGAAAAGTTAGATAAATAATTTCCCAATCTTTGAACATTTATGGATATATTTCTTGGCCCCATGAAACCAGTATATTTACAACTCTAAACATGCCATAATGACAGAATATTTTCTTATGAATCATTTGATTATTATGGTTTTTAATCATTTTGTACAAAAATCAGTTTGATAGATATCATTTAGAGAATAAAACGTCACACAAAATACAATTAAAGAAATAAGTATCATGTTAAGCAAAGAAACAATATTTCAAAACCTAGTTGTTTTTTTTTGCTGTTTTTTTTTTTTTTTGGGGGGGGGGTTCTCAAATGAATATGCCACTATGTGAACTTGACAATGCTTCAGATATGGCATTTCATAAAAGGTACTGAATGGAATGTTAGGATAAGAAAAAAAGTACATGTAAAGTTTCATGAAAACTACAAGTAACTAATTACTCAATTGACTGACCAACTGTTGTACATTGTATATCCCCAGGTAGCATAATTATTTTCCAGCAGTCCATGGATTATGCCCCTAAATAAGGCCCGCATATGTTTATTTGTGACCACTAATAAATAACATGGCATCTTTGTTTAGCAAAATTTGTGGATCATATAGAATTCATTATTGAACGGAAAACATTTAAACATTTAATAATACCTTGGGATGTAATCTACATTTACCTTTGTCAATTGTACCCTCCTTTTCCATTTCAACAATTTTATCGACTTGAATCAGCTGATTAGTTTCCATAGCATGTGTTTCTTCTGTATCCTCTACAGAATATATGAATAATACTTTCATAAATAAGTCTCAATGAATGATCAAACATTATGAGGTCGTTTGAATTATATTCAACTGCAAGTAACATTAATAGGTATTTTAACGTGTACAGCCAAGGCTCCCTGTTGAAGGCAGTACTTTGACCTATAATTGTTTACTTTTTACAGATTGTGACTTGGATGGAGAGTTGTCTCACTGGCACTCATACCACATCTTCTTATTTATATATGCGTATGGCACTAATGTATTTTTATTTTTCTCTTTTCATTCCCCCTTTATAACTTTATACATAACAGCAAGCTACAGTGTAAACAAAATTGGCATTACAAGTAGTAGTACATTATAATATTAGGGCACTAACACACTGTGTAACAAATTTATCTTACCGACTATATTCACATGTGAAATTCGGACTAGTTGCATATTAAAAAGACCAAGTCTTCAATAACAGAAACTCACTTTCATTGGTCTATACAAAAGCAAATACCAACAATAACAATTGTTTAGCCTTTACTGTGTTTTTTGCATTTAATTTCAATCGTATATCATCAATGTCTTCATCTGTCATCTAGGAGAAACGTTTGGATAATCTTCAAAGTCATGTTGTTTTCATAAAGGAATGTAACACTGTTATAACCGTGTATTAAAATAAAACACGCCCACCCACTAACCAAATATTAAAAATACAGGGTCTCCACGTGTTCCTTTCCTGGAAATGTATAGGAGGTAAGATAATAGATGATACTTGGATCAAAGCAGATGTGACATATGTTGGGAAATATATGTGAAATTTTCTGCCATCAGCAAAAAAAATCTCTAAATAAAAAAAAACATTACAATTTGACAAAATACAACCACTGATTAGGTTCCTGACGTGTGGAAAACATTTTAGATAGACTAGCCGTGTTGTCACATTCACCTGTCAACGAGCAATGAGTGGGCATATGCTATATGGGTCTCAAAGAATGACTGTGTTCATGAGAGAGAGAGATAAAGAGAGAGAGAGACAGAGAATCTGACATGTAACTTAAGAGGGGGAGTGCAATTCAGAGTTAATGATTGACAGTTAATTTAATTTTCAAGATATAACCGATGAATCAGCGTACAAGAACTTCCTGTTTCGCAATTTAGAGTAAAACTTTACCTTACACAGTGTTAAAGGGGTAGATACAATTCTTAAAATGTTAACCCAACTTGACAAAACAGGTAACTATTCAAAACACCCATTTTGTGTTCAATTCTCATCTACAATTGATCGTTTTCTCTAAACAAATTGCATTTATGCTTAAAACTTTCTCTTAAAAAATTTTGCTCTGGTAATGATCAGGTAAATATGTAAAAATTATAACTCAAAAGGCGTACCAGATTGTACATAACGTACTATTGCTGTCACTTCCTCATTGAATCCTTTTCCGTTCAGGTTTTTTATTGTTCGCTGCATACATGCACCTATTTCTGATTCTAGGGAAACATCCGTTTCAAACACATCCATTTTGACATTGAATTGTAATTTTAAAGACTTTGCAATAGATGAATCCAATTCTAACTTCTTGTTTCCTATAAAAACATATCTTAATCAATATTTAGATAACAATAGAAACAATAAGAGAGATATGCCATCCTTTACAGTAAATACTGAATTGTAAAAAATCAAAATTATTTTTTTTTTGTAATTGATAGCACAAAAAAAACACGACTTTATCATCTTACAGTTGGCGTTTTAATACATGCACGCATTATATGCTAATGTTAGGTGTTTGTTTTTGCATAAGCTGTCAAAAAAATAAGGCATGCAATTAAATAACACATTATCTTTTGAAATTATCAATTGGGTGTACACTAAACAGAACAAAACGCATGAACAAAACTTCTAACATAACTACCATTTTCCCAAATCTTTTTGAACCAACATGTTCATAATCTGGTTTGTTAACGCTTTTCTATTAGTATATTTATTAAGTATATACTTTTAATTTGAGAAACGAAGCCACCTTTCAGTGCGAATAGTTTAAGGGATATTGCAACGGAAACTGCATTTTGTCTGTTTCTTCTCTTATCTCTTCGTGTTTTTCTTCAAAGAAAATGATATATATTTTTTACCAAAGAACAATAATACCTAATAAAAGTATTTAATATTTTGAAGTGTACTTTTAGATTTACATCTAGGCAGTTTCAATATATTCATGATGCATGCTGCTTTCTATTTCTTCTTTCATTTTTCATGTTTTGGTCGAACGTTTGAGATAGAAGTTTCAAAAACAGTTAAATTTCAAGCCGGTGCTAGGGGCCGTCTTAAACTTGCAGTAAGCTGAGAGTTTTTTTTTTTTTTTTTTGCTCCGTGTTGAAGGCCTCACTGTGACTTTAAGATGAAGAACGGCAATAAATGCGCTGTTCTTTTGCTTTTGTGTGTTTCTTTGCTGTGCATGTATTGATTTTGTGTCATGGATGGATAGCTCATATCTTTTGTTTTTCTATTAAGACACACTTCTGCTGATGAATACTTTCCCGTTTCCCATTCAATATATTAGGGCATCGATTTTAAATTGTTGACAAAATAAATATTATTTTCTACTTTACTGGTTTTGCTTTTTCATTGAATGAAATGCGCATATGTAACAGTCAAATTTGTAGCGTGCATGTTATTTTAAAGAATAGAATTTCTTCAGAGTATGATTTTTGACACTGTGTAAAACGCCTTTTTATAATATGTTTGACTTTTCAACTGATTTGTTTCGAGCACAACTAATGAGTCATGTACAAGCGAAACCCACGTAACATTGTACATTTTGTAAACATGAAAACAGTACATGATAATTAAGATCTGTTTGTCTTTTTCTGTTTGTTTTATAGAGGTTAACATACCTTCGCTAGGACAAATGACAGCATCTATCCATTGAGTAGAAGTTATCCCAAACTTTCCTTTCTTGAGAATTCTTGTCATAAAGGATGACAATTCAGTTTGAAGAATATCGTCTGTTGCCAAAGTTTCTGTTCTTATGTATGCATATAAAACTAGACATCCTGTTAAAGCCCCTACAAATTCGATGTTTAACTCGACCTCATTTATTTGCGTCCTGGCCTCGTTTAATATCTTTGCTTTCATTTCAGCGTCATCTATATTTATCAGTTCGATTTCGATCAGAAATTTTTCCTGTCCTAAAATGTGAATTAGAAAAATGTCTCACAAAAAATTAAGGAATAAATCTTATTTTGACAACCACCATATTATTATTTTTTGTAACATATGGAGCTGTTCTTTGATTGCCAATGAGATAATATCGGCGATAAGAAAACAAACCTACACAATACGATACCAATCTTAGGGTACACACATTTACTAAAAGCTAGTCCAAACCCTATTTCAATGTTTAAAAAAATCATCTTCTCAAGAACTAGATTAGAAATAAATCTATCAGTACACGTCAATTTGATGTACTGTTGAGACATACTAATGCATTATTATCTAAAATAAAATCTATGATAGAACCGATAAAGACAACATCCGTAATTACTCATTGACACAATATACATGGTCGTCAACAAATTATCATAGGCCAGTGTAAAGTATTCAGAAGGTCTACGAATTAAAACTGTCATATTACGATCTTCTTCAAATTATATTGCAATTTATATAATAAAAAGAGGACATGCTGCAGTCGTAATTGATGCAAACAAAATTTTGTAGTCATTGAGTTACAGTATTGCTGTCATTTGTATTATACAATCCATCCTGACATAAAAAAAACAAAACAAAATTACTGATTATGCGGCCATATACATTTACATAATAAAGTGCAAATATGGTCAGTTTTGGTTGATGCGGTCAAATCATTTTGTTATACGAAATTTGGTTAGTAGTCAATATTTTGAATATAAAAGAAGACATGCTGGTACTCTAAATTGATGCGAAAATTTTTGTAGTCATTGTGTTCCAATATTGCTGTCATTTGTATTATACAATCCGTCCTGACATAAAACAAATACTGATTTATATATACATATTATGCAGCCATATAAATTTACATAATAAAGTACAAACATGGTCAGTTTTGGTTGATGCAGTGAAATAATTATGTTATACGAGCCTGCATGAGGTATCAAAACTACTGAATTTTTGTGGTGAGTCAAGATTTTGAATAAAAAGAGGACATGCTGGGACCCTAAATTGATGCAGACAAACTTTTGTATTCATTGTGTTCCAATATTGCTGTCACTTGTATTATACATTACGTCCTGACATAAAAAAAAATACCGATTTATAATGAGGCCATATAAATTTACATAATAAAGTGGAAATTTGGTCAGTTTTGGTTGATACGGTCAAATAATTTTGTAATACGATCCAGCCTGAGGTATCAAAACTACTGACTTTTTGTTACGAGTCAATATTTTGAATAATATGTGGACATGCTGGGACCCTTAATTGATGCGAACAAACTTTTGTAGTCATTGTGTTTCAATATTGCTGTTACTTGTAATATACAATCCGTCCTGGCATACACAAAAATACTGATTTATAATCATGATAATGCAGCCATATAAATTTACACAACCAAGTGCAAATATGGTCAGGTTTGGTTGATGCAGTTAAATAATTGTGTTATACGAGCCATCCTGAGGTATCAAAACTACTCACTTTTTGGTACGAGTCAATATTTTGAGTAAAAAGAGAACATGCTGGTACTCTTAATTGATGCGGACAAAATTGTGTAGTCATTGTGTTGCTGTCATTTGTATCATACAATCCATCCTGACATAAAACAAATTGAAATTACTGATTTATTATGTAGTTATATACATTAACATAATAAAGTGCAAATATGGTCATTTTTGGTTGATGCGGTCAAATAATATTGGGAAACCAGCCAGTCTGAGACATGAAAACTGCTGATTTTTGGTGATGATTCAATTATTTGAATAAAAAGAGGACTTGCTTGCACTCTTAATTGATGCAGAAAAAGAAATAGTAGTAATGTGGGTACTCTGAAGTATAGCCGACCATAAACATGATATATCTTAGTAACTGTACACCAATATTGCTTTCATTTATCATGATTATTTTATACAATCTATGTACTATGCGGTAATTATTATCATTATTTGTCGATTTTATCTGATAACCAAGGTTTTAAGAATTAATGCTACATTTTTAAACAAATCAGAGCTTAAACATTTTAAATAGAATACATATATATATATATGACTTAAAGAATTTGATATTTATTGGAATATATATATTCGATGCATGTTAGCAGTGTAACCAATATCGTTTTCAATTTATAAAAAGACAGATCACGGAGAAATGTGTATAACAAGCAAAATTGTATGCGCACTTTTTTTACAAAATTTTTAATCTGTATTGTTTATATCAAGAAACAAAAGACATTTAAAAATATTTTATACATCGATGTAGAGCGGTCTTGGTTACAAGTTAACTTAGTGTTAAGCAGACCAACCAAAAGTTAACTTGATTCATTTCTGGTTCAATCGGAGCTGTCAAAAATAAAGTTAACTTATTGCAGGACTGGTTTCGAAGTTACTTACAATAGTAGCGGACCTGTATCAAACTTTTTTTTTAACTCATTAAAACAGTTCTAGGACCAAGTCCGCTTTTCAAGTTAACTTGATTGTGGTCCTAGGACTGGTCAGAGCAGTCCTAAATCTTGTCGCAGGTTAACTTTGACCAGTCAAAATGTCTGACTAGCAAGTTAAAATTGACTGTACAAGTTAGGACTGCACCCATCTGTAAATCTAAACTTAATAATTTACCAGTACCAGATTACGATCATTAAAATCCAAAACATCTCTACAAACACGGACATAGCGAACGAGTTGTGATATATAAATACCGTAAAATGATGCCAAAGGAACATCGCCATCCAAAAATTGAATATTTACAATAAGTAAAGAAAAATCTTCCCTTTTGTAGTAAACTTAAGTGTTAAGTTTTCTGTGTTAAACTGAAATATCCTAATCTAGAAAAGGACAGATATAACAATTTGTATTTGATATATTCAAAGTAAGTTCTTTTGGGTAAATTTCCAATATATATTAGAAATTTCTTCATCATTTAACGAAAAAATATGATCAGGATAACGATAAGCGTTGTTGTAATTTATCAATTAAATGCAATTTAGACAGGTCTTTACTGATTTTTTTCATAATCTGTGATTCATAACAGTATAAAACAAGTCTGCTATTGAAGGGGCGCAATTGGTGCCCATAGCAATATCTACAACCTGTCGATACACTTTATTACCGAAAGTTACATAAATGTTATCAAGGAGAACATTAATTGCTTCAAACATCTCATCATACCTCCAATAAGTATATCTAGCAAATTTACCTTTCTCATTAGAGAAGAAGGTTTTAAATGAGTGGCAGCAAATATATTTGCCAGTAAGCATATTTAGCATTTTTACCTTTCTCATTAGAGAAGAAAGCTATAAATGAGTTGCAGCAAATATAGTAGCAATTAGTTATTTCAAACAACCATTTTATAAGATAGGTCAAATTTTGTTTGATAAGATTATGTGGAAGTGTAGTGTATAGAGTTGAAAAGAAAAACTGTCAGCAGAATCAAGAGGACCATCTAAAGTACGTAGTTTATTTAAAACCTCCAAAGAATTTTGTAGACTCCAAAAATACTTAATTACACTTATTTTTTATCTTTTTTCACAATAATTAATGATAAGTTCTTTGATAGTAGTTTAGGAACTAGTTAAATTTAAAGAACACTTACTAGAGGCAGAGATTAAACAATAGTTTACGTTTTTTTTGTTGAGTGGTTTAGGAAACCGATACATAGTAGGGACCTTCAATTTTTACAAGAGGCCTTAAGCTGTGGTGTTGTTATGATATTACTGTTTACTAAACGACTCTCTGTGGAGCGCACTGACCTGAACATGCTGAATGTAGAAAATTTTATAATTTCATTCTTAGGAATTTCCGTATAGTAGTTACGTATCACCACATTGTTGGCTGCTTTGTCGACCGGTACAAAGACAAACCGTTTTGCAAGTATTTGAAGTTTGAAGAAAATGCATAACTTTGAATCAATTATAAAGTTTGACAAATGAGACTGCATTATCAAATCGTGAGAGCAAGATAACATTTTGTGTATGCAGTAAATATAACTAGCATTGTATAATTATGTGACTTTCTGTATTTTACTTATTTTTGAAGATCGTAAGACGATGGAAACATTTGACACTGATGGATAATTTTTCCCATTGCCAATCATACCAAAACTATTTGCTTATATGTAGGTTTTTTTTAATAAATGTAAAAAAAAATAACTAATCTGTGTGTACTTAATTACTTACATTCCATTATTCAAAACTTCGACCCAATTGAACAGTTGTATATATCTTCCCTTTCAATGTATGTTTAAAGGGACTTAAGATAACATGAAACCAATTGACATGTCTCCCGATTTCTTAGATTTGTGGCACATATGTACTTTTATTCTAGATATATTCGAATATTAGATAAAAATAGGGGATCACCATTTTTTTTTTTTTTTTTTTTTTTGTAATATTCATTAGATAACGTAAATTTTGAATGTTCTAGATTTTTCATTGAATGGATCTTATATACGGAGTAAGACTAAACACTTAAAAATTCTGGTTTCTTTCATTTCCTATTAATTCAGTATAACATTATTATTAAACTGCAATATACAAGTATCATCAGTGGAAAAGTATACAGCAACAACAAGTTATGGAAAAGTATGCATAAACAAACAGTTATGGTGTTACATGTACACTGCTGTGTTATGGATTTACTTCTTATAAATCACTATTTGCACTGTTTTGTAGAATCAATTTGACATAATACTGACTATGCGGTATGGGTTTTGCTCATTGTCGAAGGTCGTACGGTAACCTATTATTGTTAATTTCTATGCCATTTGGTCTCTTGTGGAGAGTTGCATCATTGACAATCTTACCACATCTTCATATTATTATATAAAGAGTAATGATTAGTGATTTAATTGTATATCTTCCTAACCAAGTCATATTTAACTTTTCAAAACTGAATCTTCAACTAACCCTACCATACCAGACAAAGGTGATGCCACCGCTACATGCACGAATAAACTGCTTCAAAAACAAGTTGATGAAACAAATAATGCTGTTGAAGTACGATTTGAA